TGGATGATGACCATTTACATCAACCACTTGCTTGCAATGATGATACGTCGGTTCACCTCATGTTGCGTATAGTCTTACCAAAAGCCACTTTTGATCATGCCTCTTGAGCTAGCCAAGGTAGAGAGACCGCTGCATCAGAATGTACAACCAGATCACACTAACCTTTATAGAGCAACCCTCTGTAAGAAGTATCCTTTGAGCGGCAAACAAGATGTTCATATGCAATCACTGTCTTGCTGGGTTTTTTCTGAAGTCATAGCGAGAACCGGAATCAGGTGTCGAACCTGACCGTGACCTGTGTTGGCATCTTGTACGAGCCCCGCACAAGCCACATTCATGTTCCTTTGCATATAGACGCCTGGTAGCTCATTGTTCTTTGGCGCTAAACATTGCAGTACTTCAAAACACATGACCGTATGAAACACGACCTCCACAGTCATTACCAATACTGAAACAAAGTTATTGTGTCGCCTCGCTCATGTGGCTGTTACGAAGTGGCACGGCTGCAAGGGTCATGCTTGACCTGCATGTCTGCCACTGGAGCAACCCGATCATGTATAGGTTTATGAGTTCTATATCTCAGCTAAACTGAAGTTGCAATGTAATTCTCGCATACGCATACCTACTACCTACAAGTTGCAGGCTAGATGTACAACAACTGATAGCACATATCGGACAACAGATCCTTTATTTTCGCTACATTTAAAGTGTACACTACAGGAGCATTGGACTACAATGCTGCTAACAGGGCAAATTGGAAGGACGGACGAGTTCGGTCGATACAAGTCCACCAGTTTACGCCGCCGAGCGAAGCTTGCGGTACGTGGCTCCATTTCCAGCCCCAGCGTTCGCAGAGGCACTTGCTGTGGCGCTTGCCGACGCAGCCGCTGCACCACCAGTCGACGCACCTGCTGTACCGCCAGTTGACGTACCCGCAGGGTAGCCGTAGCCGACATAACTCGGCGCACCATATCCGACACCGCCAGTTGACGTACCCGCAGGGTAGCCGTAGCCGTAGCCGACATAACTCGGCGCACCATATCTGACACCGCCGTTGACACCTACGCCAACACCGACACCGCCGCCAACAACCACACCCAAGCCATGGTTGCGGTAACGGCCAAACGTCTCGGCGACTTCCTTCTCAGCGTGTATGCCACTGGATAACACCACGACGGCGATGCACACGGCGAAGATCTTGTTGCTGCTGAACATGGTTGGAGGTGCTATTTGGAGACTTGGGTCCGATAGAAAGCGAAAGAGCTTGCGTGTTGGACTTGAGTAATTGGAGCTCGAGGCCGTAAATGTGAGAATGAACACTCAGTGGCAGCGTGTCGCCTGGGCTCATGTTTGACTTGGTAATCTCGCGCACCATGTGCACGTCGACGGAGAAGAAGCCCAGCCGGTTGAAATGTCTGGTAATGGTTATCCCAGGATGGGACATGTGTTCCCTGTATAGTGCCAACGCGGACGATGATCTCTCCTATCACTATGTCAAGTTTTCATACGATACTTGTACAGAAGAAGTTGCTGATATCTCTAAAACCAACGTGTTTGCAATGCTGTTCATCCGGCGGTCAACACGCATTCAAACGATGGAAATGTAATGTAATTGTGTTTGTTTGACAACCCATCTTACCTAAACGTCTCTTTGACTTGGGGAGTATACAAGATGTAGCACAGATAACGAACATTGCTGGTGCCCGTGTGCATTGTAATACACGTACCGCGTACTTCGGTCGTATCTCGGTCGTGATAGCTCAAGTAAGAACGGTATGTGTATCGAACTAATCACGAGAGCATTTGGGCTTTTATAATCAGTAAGCGATTGCTTTATGTTTCATAAGTCCGTCACAAGTCTGTCACCCGTCTGTCACCCGTCTGTTATTGTTTGTGCATGTTTGTGCATGTTTGCAACAAATTCATAGCTAAGATGATGTAGAGTCTACTACCATACTGTCCGCGCAAGAGGTCGTACAAAGTTTCGTTCCGGCTTCAAGTGACTCGACGCGATCGTTTTGAAGTACACACAGTAGTCTGTCCAAGCCGGTCACAATAGTTGACCATTTTTTTATGAAGAGGTCAACATCTGACAGCTAAAACTTATGGATGATGACCATTTACATCAACCACTTGCTTGCAATGATGATACGTCGGTTCACCTCATGTTGCGTATAGTCTTACCAAAAGCCATCTTTTGATCATGCCTCTTGAGCTAGCCAAGGTAGAGAGACCGCTGCATCAGAATGTACAACCAGATCACACTAACCTTTATAGAGCAACCCTCTGTAAGAAGTATCCTTTGAGCGGCAAACAAGATGTTCATATGCAATCACTGTCTTGCTGGGTTTTTTCTGAAGTCATAGCGAGAACCGGAATCAGGTGTCGAACCTGACCGTGACCTGTGTTGGCATCTTGATCGAGCCCCGCACAAGCCACATTCATGTTCCTTTGCATATAGACGCCTGGTAGCTCATTGTTCTTTGGCGCTAAACATTGCAGTACTTCAAAACACATGACCGTATGAAACACGACCTCCACAGTCATTACCAATACTGAAACAAAGTTATTGTGTCGCCTCGCTCATGTGGCTGTTACGAAGTGGCACGGCTGCAAGGGTCATGCTTGACCTGCATGTCTGCCACTGGAGCAACCCGATCATGTATAGGTTTATGAGTTCTATATCTCAGCTAAACTGAAGTTGCAATGTAATTCTCGCATACGCATACCTACTACCTACAAGTTGCAGGCTAGATGTACAACAACTGATAGCACATATCGGACAACAGATCCTTTATTTTCGCTACATTTAAAGTGTACACTACAGGAGCATTGGACTACAATGCTGCTAACAGGGCAAATTGGAAGGACGGACGAGTTCGGTCGATACAAGTCCACCAGTTTACGCCGCCGAGCGAAGCTTGCGGTACGTGGCTCCATTTCCAGCCCCAGCGTTCGCAGAGGCACTTGCTGTGGCGCTTGCCGACGCAGCCGCTGCACCACCAGTCGACGCACCTGCTGTACCGCCAGTTGACGTACCCGCAGGGTAGCCGTAGCCGACATAACTCGGCGCACCATATCCGACACCGCCAGTTGACGTACCCGCAGGGTAGCCGTAGCCGTAGCCGACATAACTCGGCGCACCATATCTGACACCGCCGTTGACACCTACGCCAACACCGACACCGCCGCCAACAACCACACCCAAGCCATGGTTGCGGTAACGGCCAAACGTCTCGGCGACTTCCTTCTCAGCGTGTATGCCACTGGATAACACCACGACAGCGATGCACACGGCGAAGATCTTGTTGCTGCTGAACATGGTTGGAGGTGCTATTTGGAGACTTGGGTCCGATAGAAAGCGAAAGAGCTTGCGTGTTGGACTTGAGTAATTGGAGCTCGAGGCCGTAAATGTGAGAATGAACACTCAGTGGCAGCGTGTCGCCTGGGCTCATGTTTGACTTGGTAATCTCGCGCACCATGTGCACGTCGACGGAGAAGAAGCCCAGCCGGTTGAAATGTCTGGTAATGGTTATCCCAGGATGGGACATGTGTTCCCTGTATAGTGCCAACACGGACGATGATCTCTCCTATCACTATGTCAAGTTTTCATACGATACTTGTACAGAAGAAGTTGCTGATATCTCTGAAACCAACGTGTTTGCAATGCTGTTCATCCGGCGGTCAACACGCATTCAAACGATGGAAATGTAATGTAATTGTGTTTGTTTGACAACCCATCTTACCTAAACGTCTCTTTGACTTGGGGAGTATACAAGATGTAGCACAGATAACGAACATTGCTGGTACCCGTGTGCATTGTAATACACGTACCGCGTACTTCGGTCGTATCTCGGCCATGATAGCTCAAGTAAGAACGGTATGTGTATCGAACTAATCACGAGAGCATTTGGGCTTTTATAATCAGTAAGCGATTGCTTTATGTTTCATAAGTCCGTCACAAGTCTGTCACCCGTCTGTCACCCGTCTGTTATTGTTTGTGCATGTTTGTGCATGTTTGCAACAAATTCATAGCTAAGATGATGTAGAGTCTACTACCATACTGTCCGCGCAAGAGGTCGTACAAAGTTTCGTTCCGGCTTCAAGTGACTCGACGCGATCGTTCTGAAGTACACACAGTAGCCTGTCCAAGCCGGTCACAATAGTTGACCATTTTTTTATGAAGAGGTCAACATCTGACAGCTAAAACTTATGGATGATGACCATTTACATCAACCACTTGCTTGCAATGATGATACGTCGGTTCACTTCATGTTGCGTATAGTCTTACCAAAAGCATCTTTTGATCATGCCTCTTGAGCTAGCCAAGGTAGAGAGACCGCTGCATCAGAATGTACAACCAGATCACACTAACCTTTATAGAGCAACCCTCTGTAAGAAGTATCCTTTGAGCGGCAAACAAGATGTTCATATGCAATCACTGTCTTGCTGGGTTTTTTCTGAAGTCATAGCGAGAACCGGAATCAGGTGTCGAACCTGACCGTGACCTGTGTTGGCATCTTGATCGAGCCCCGCACAAGCCACATTCATGTTCCTTTGCATATAGACGCCTGGTAGCTCATTGTTCTTTGGCGCTAAACATTGCAGTACTTCAAAACACATGACCGTATGAAACACGACCTCCACAGTCATTACCAATACTGAAACAAAGTTATTGTTTCGCCTCGCTCATGTGGCTGTTACGAAGTGGCACGGCTGCAAGGGTCATGCTTGACCTGCATGTCTGCCACTGGAGCAACCCGATCATGTATAGGTTTATGAGTTCTATATCTCAGCTAAACTGAAGTTGCAATGTAATTCTCGCATACGCATACCTACTACCTACAAGTTGCAGGCTAGATGTACAACAACTGAATCGGACAACAGATCCTTTATTTTCGCTACATTTAAAGTGTACACTACAGGAGCATTGGACTACAATGCTGCTAACAGGGCAAATTGGAAGGACAAACGAGTTCGGTCGATACAAGTCCACCAGTTTACGCCGCCGAGCGAAGCTTGCGGTACGTGGCTCCATTTCCAGCCCCAGCGTTCGCAGAGGCACTTGCTGTGGCGCTTGCCGACGCAGCCGCTGCACCACCAGTCGACGCACCTGCTGTACCGCCAGTTGACGTACCCGCAGGGTAGCCGTAGCCGACATAACTCGGCGCACCATATCCGACACCGCCGTTGACACCTACGCCGACTCCACCGCCGACACCGGGGTAGCCGTAGCCGACATAACTCGGCGCACCATATCCGACACCGCCGTTGACACCTACGCCGACTCCACCGCCGACACCGGGGTAGCCGTAGCCGACATAACTCGGCGCACCATATCCGACACCGACGCCAACACCCACACCCAAGCCATGGTTGTGATAACGGCCAAACGTCTCGGCGACTTCCTTCTCAGCGTGTATGCCACTGGATAACACCACGACGGCGATGCACACGGCGATGATCTTGTTGCTGCTGAACATGGTTGGAGGTGCTATTTGGAGACTTGGGTCCGATAGAAAGCGAAAGAGCTTGCGTGTTGGACTTGAGTAATTGGAGCTCGAGGCCGTAAATGTGAGAATGAACACTCAGTGGCAGCGTGTCGCCTGGGCTCATGTTTGACTTGGTAATCTCGCGCGCCATGTGCACGTCGACGGAGAAGAAGCCCAGTCGGTTGAAATGTCTGGTAATGGTTATCCCAGGATGGGACATGTGTTCCCTGTATAGTGCCAACACGGACGATGATCTCTCCTATCACTATGTCAAGTTTTCATACGATACTTGTACAGAAGAAGTTGCTGATATCTCTAAAACCAACGTGTTTGCAATGCTGTTCATCCGGCGGTCAACACGCATTCAAACGATGGAAATGTAATGTAATTGTGTTTGTTTGACAACCCATCTTACCTAAACGTCTCTTTGACTTGGGGAGTATACAAGATGTAGCACAGATAACGAACATTGCTGGTACCCGTGTGCATTGTAATACACGTACCGCGTACTTCGGTCGTATCTCGGTCGTGATAGCTCAAGTAAGAACGGTATGTGTATCGAACTAATCACGAGAGCATTTGGACTTTTATAATCAGTAAGCGATTGCTTTATGTTTCATAAGTCCGTCACAAGTCTGTCACCCGTCTGTCACCCGTCTGTTATTGTTTGTGCATGTTTGTGCATGTTTGCAACAAATTCATAGCTAAGATGATGTAGAGTCTACTACCATACTGTCCGCGCAAGAGGTCGTACAAAGTTTCGTTCCGGCTTTAAGTGACTCGACGCGATCGTTCTGAAGTACACACAGTAGTCTGTCCAAGCCGGTCACAATAGTTGACCATTTTTTTATGAAGAGGTCAACATCTGACAGCTAAAACTTATGGATGATGACCATTTACATCAACCACTTGCTTGCAATGATGATACGTCGGTTCACTTCATGTTGCGTATAGTCTTACCAAAAGCATCTTTTGATCATGCCTCTTGAGCTAGCCAAGGTAGAGAGACCGCTGCATCAGAATGTACAACCAGATCACACTAACCTTTATAGAGCAACCCTCTGTAAGAAGTATCCTTTGAGCGGCAAACAAGATGTTTATATGCAATCACTGTCTTGCTGGGTTTTTTCTGAAGTCATAGCGAGAACCGGAATCAGGTGTCGAACCTGACCGTGACTTGTGTTGGCATCTTGTACGAGCCCCGCACAAGCCACATTCATGTTCCTTTGCATATAGACGCCTGGTAGCTCATTGTTCTTTGGCGCTAAACATTGCAGTACTTCAAAACACATGACCGTATGAAACACGACCTCCACAGTCATTACCAATACTGAAACAAAGTTATTGTTTCGCCTCGCTCATGTGGCTGTTACGAAGTGGCACGGCTGCAAGGGTCATGCTTGACCTGCATGTCTGCCACTGGAGCAACCCGATCATGTATAGGTTTATGAGTTCTATATCTCAGCTAAACTGAAGTTGCAATGTAATTCTCGCATACGCATACCTACTACCTACAAGTTGCAGGCTAGATGTACAACAACTGATAGCACATATCGGACAACAGATCCTTTATTTTCGCTACATTTAAAGTGTACACTACAGGAGCATTGGACTACAATGCTGCTAACAGGGAAAATTGGAAGGACAAACGAGTTCGGTCGATACAAGTCCACCAGTTTACGCCGCCGAGCGAAGCTTGCGGTACGTGGCTCCATTTCCAGCCCCAGCGTTCGCAGAGGCACTTGCTGTGGCGCTTGCCGACGCAGCCGCTGCACCACCAGTCGACGCACCTGCTGTACCGCCAGTTGACGTACCCGCAGGGTAGCCGTAGCCGACATAACTCGGCGCACCATATCCGACACCGCCGTTGACACCTACGCCGACTCCACCGCCGACACCGGGGTAGCCGTAGCCGACATAACTCGGCGCACCATATCCGACACCGCCGTTGACACCGACACCAACACCGACACCGCCGTTGACACCGACACCAACACCTCCACCGACACCGCCGCCAACAAACACACCCAAGCCATGGTTGTGATAACGGCCAAACGTCTCGGCGACTTCCTTCTCAGCGTGTATGCCACTGGATAACACCACGACGGCGATGCACACGGCGAAGATCTTGTTGCTGCTGAACATGGTTGGAGGTGCTATTTGGAGACTTGGGTCCGATAGAAAGCGAAAGAGCTTGCGTGTTGGACTTGAGTAATTGGAGCTCGAGGCCGTAAATATGAGAATGAACACTCAGTGGCAGCGTGTCGCCTGGGCTCATGTTTGACTTGGTAATCTCGCGCGCCATGTGCACGTCGACGGAGAAGAAGCCCAGCCGGTTGAAATGTCTGGGACATGTGTTCCCTGTATAGTGCCAACGCGGACGATGATCTCTCCTATCACTATGTCAAGTTTTCATACGATACTTGTACAGAAGAAGTTGCTGATATCTCTAAAACCAACGTGTTTGCAATGCTGTTCATCCGGCGGTCAACACGCATTCAAACGATGGAAATGTAATGTAATTGTGTTTGTTTGACAACCCATCTTACCTAAACGTCTCTTTGACTTGGGGAGTATACAAGATGTAGCACAGATAACGAACATTGCTGGTACCCGTGTGCATTGTAATACACGTACCGCGTACTTCGGTCGTATCTCGGTCGTGATAGCTCAAGTAAGAACGGTATGTGTATCGAACTAATCACGAGAGCATTTGGACTTTTATAATCAGTAAGCGATTGCTTTATGTTTCATAAGTCCGTCACAAGTCTGTCACCCGTCTGTCACCCGTCTGTTATTGTTTGTGCATGTTTGTGCATGTTTGCAACAAATTCATAGCTAAGATGATGTAGAGTCTACTACCATACTGTCCGCGCAAGAGGTCGTACAAAGTTTCGTTCCGGCTTTAAGTGACTCGACGCGATCGTTCTGAAGTACACACAGTAGTCTGTCCAAGCCGGTCACAATAGTTGACCATTTTTTTATGAAGAGGTCAACATCTGACAGCTAAAACTTATGGATGATGACCATTTACATCAACCACTTGCTTGCAATGATGATACGTCGGTTCACCTCATGTTGCGTATAGTCTTACCAAAAGCATCTTTTGATCATGCCTCTTGAGCTAGCCAAGGTAGAGAGACCGCTGCATCAGAATGTACAACCAGATCACACTAACCTTTATAGAGCAACCCTCTGTAAGAAGTATCCTTTGAGCGGCAAACAAGATGTTTATATGCAATCACTGTCTTGCTGGTTTTTTTCTGAAGTCATAGCGAGAACCGGAATCAGGTGTCGAACCTGACCGTGACTTGTGTTGGCATCTTGTACGAGCCCCGCACAAGCCACATTCATGTTCCTTTGCATATAGACGCCTGGTAGCTCATTGTTCTTTGGCGCTAAACATTGCAGTACTTCAAAACACATGACCGTATGAAACACGACCTCCACAGTCATTACCAATACTAAAACAAAGTTATTGTTTCGCCTCGCTCATGTGGCTGTTACGAAGTGGCACGGCTGCAAGGGTCATGCTTGACCTGCATGTCTGCCACTGGAGCAACCCGATCATGTATAGGTTTATGAGTTCTATATCTCAGCTAAACTGAAGTTGCAATGTAATTCTCGCATACGCATACCTACTACCTACAAGTTGCAGGCTAGATGTACAACAACTGATAGCACATATCGGACAACAGATCCTTTATTTTCGCTACATTTAAAGTGTACACTACAGGAGCATTGGACTACAATGCTGCTAACAGGGCAAATTGGAAGGACAAACGAGTTCGGTCGATACAAGTCCACCAGTTTACGCCGCCGAGCGAAGCTTGCGGTACGTGGCTCCATTTCCAGCCCCAGCGTTCGCAGAGGCACTTGCTGTGGCGCTTGCCGACGCAGCCGCTGCACCACCAGTCGACGCACCTGCTGTACCGCCAGTTGACGTACCCGCAGGGTAGCCGTAGCCGACATAACTCGGCGCACCATATCCGACACCGCCGTTGACACCTACGCCGACTCCACCGCCGACACCGGGGTAGCCGTAGCCGACATAACTCGGCGCACCATATCCGACACCGCCGTTGACACCGACACCAACACCGACACCGCCGTTGACACCGACACCAACACCTCCACCGACACCGCCGCCAACAAACACACCCAAGCCATGGTTGTGATAACGGCCAAACGTCTCGGCGACTTCCTTCTCAGCGTGTATGCCACTGGATAACACCACGACGGCGATGCACACGGCGAAGATCTTGTTGCTGCTGAACATGGTTGGAGGTGCTATTTGGAGACTTGGGTCCGATAGAAAGCGAAAGAGCTTGCGTGTTGGACTTGAGTAATTGGAGCTCGAGGCCGTAAATGTGAGAATGAACACTCAGTGGAAGCGTGTCGCCTGGGCTCATGTTTGACTTGGTAATCTCGCGCACCATGTGCACGTCGACGGAGAAGAAGCCCAGCCGGTTGAAATGTCTGGTAATGGTTATCCCAGGATGGGACATGTGTTCCCTGTATAGTGCCAACACGGACGATGATCTCTCCTATCACTATGTCAAGTTTTCATACGATACTTGTACAGAAGAAGTTGCTGATATCTCTAAAACCAACGTGTTTGCAATGCTGTTCATCCGGCGGTCAACACGCATTCAAACGATGGAAATGTAATGTAATTGTGTTTGTTTGACAACCCATCTTACCTAAACGTCTCTTTGACTTGGGGAGTATACAAGATGTAGCACAGATAACGAACATTGCTGGTACCCGTGTGCATTGTAATACACGTACCGCGTACTTCGGTCGTATCTCGGTCGTGATAGCTCAAGTAAGAACGGTATGTGTATCGAACTAATCACGAGAGCATTTGGACTTTTATAATCAGTAAGCGATTGCTTTATGTTTCATAAGTCCGTCACAAGTCTGTCACCCGTCTGTCACCCGTCTGTTATTGTTTGTGCATGTTTGTGCATGTTTGCAACAAATTCATAGCTAAGATGATGTAGAGTCTACTACCATACTGTCCGCGCAAGAGGTCGTACAAAGTTTCGTTCCGGCTTTAAGTGACTCGACGCGATCGTTCTGAAGTACACACAGTAGTCTGTCCAAGCCGGTCACAATAGTTGACCATTTTTTTATGAAGAGGTCAACATCTGACAGCTAAAACTTATGGATGATGACCATTTACATCAACCACTTGCTTGCAATGATGATACGTCGGTTCACTTCATGTTGCGTATAGTCTTACCAAAAGCATCTTTTGATCATGCCTCTTGAGCTAGCCAAGGTAGAGAGACCGCTGCATCAGAATGTACAACCAGATCACACTAACCTTTATAGAGCAACCCTCTGTAAGAAGTATCCTTTGAGCGGCAAACAAGATGTTTATATGCAATCACTGTCTTGCTGGGTTTTTTCTGAAGTCATAGCGAGAACCGGAATCAGGTGTCGAACCTGACCGTGACTTGTGTTGGCATCTTGTACGAGCCCCGCACAAGCCACATTCATGTTCCTTTGCATATAGACGCCTGGTAGCTCATTGTTCTTTGGCGCTAAACATTGCAGTACTTCAAAACACATGACCGTATGAAACACGACCTCCACAGTCATTACCAATACTAAAACAAAGTTATTGTTTCGCCTCGCTCATGTGGCTGTTACGAAGTGGCACGGCTGCAAGGGTCATGCTTGACCTGCATGTCTGCCACTGGAGCAACCCGATCATGTATAGGTTTATGAGTTCTATATCTCAGCTAAACTGAAGTTGCAATGTAATTCTCGCATACGCATACCTACTACCTACAAGTTGCAGGCTAGATGTACAACAACTGATAGCACATATCGGACAACAGATCCTTTATTTTCGCTACATTTAAAGTGTACACTACAGGAGCATTGGACTACAATGCTGCTAACAGGGCAAATTGGAAGGACAAACGAGTTCGGTCGATACAAGTCCACCAGTTTACGCCGCCGAGCGAAGCTTGCGGTACGTGGCTCCATTTCCAGCCCCAGCGTTCGCAGAGGCACTTGCTGTGGCGCTTGCCGACGCAGCCGCTGCACCACCAGTCGACGCACCTGCTGTACCGCCAGTTGACGTACCCGCAGGGTAGCCGTAGCCGACATAACTCGGCGCACCATATCCGACACCGCCGTTGACACCTACGCCGACTCCACCGCCGACACCGGGGTAGCCGTAGCCGACATAACTCGGCGCACCATATCCGACACCGCCGTTGACACCGACACCAACACCGACACCGCCGTTGACACCGACACCAACACCTCCACCGACACCGCCGCCAACAAACACACCCAAGCCATGGTTGTGATAACGGCCAAACGTCTCGGCGACTTCCTTCTCAGCGTGTATGCCACTGGATAACACCACGACGGCGATGCACACGGCGAAGATCTTGTTGCTGCTGAACATGGTTGGAGGTGCTATTTGGAGACTTGGGTCCGATAGAAAGCGAAAGAGCTTGCGTGTTGGACTTGAGTAATTGGAGCTCGAGGCCGTAAATGTGAGAATGAACACTCAGTGGCAGCGTGTCGCCTGGGCTCATGTTTGACTTGGTAATCTCGCGCGCCATGTGCACGTCGACGGAGAAGAAGCCCAGTCGGTTGAAATGTCTGGTAATGGTTATCCCAGGATGGGACATGTGTTCCCTGTATAGTGCCAACACGGACGATGATCTCTCCTATCACTATGTCAAGTTTTCATACGATACTTGTACAGAAGAAGTTGCTGATATCTCTAAAACCAACGTGTTTGCAATGCTGTTCATCCGGCGGTCAACACGCATTCAAACGATGGAAATGTAATGTAATTGTGTTTGTTTGACAACCCATCTTACCTAAACGTCTCTTTGACTTGGGGAGTATACAAGATGTAGCACAGATAACGAACATTGCTGGTGCCCGTGTGCATTAGTACCGCGTACTTCGGTCGTATCTCGGTCGTGATAGCTCAAGTAAGAACGGTATGTGTATCGAACTAATCACGAGAGCATTTGGACTTTTATAATCAGTAAGCGATTGCTTTATGTTTCATAAGTCCGTCACAAGTCTGTCACCCGTCTGTCACCCGTCTGTTATTGTTTGTGCATGTTTGTGCATGTTTGCAACAAATTCATAGCTAAGATGATGTAGAGTCTACTACCATACTGTCCGCGCAAGAGGTCGTACAAAGTTTCGTTCCGGCTTTAAGTGACTCGACGCGATCGTTCTGAAGTACACACAGTAGTCTGTCCAAGCCGGTCACAATAGTTGACCATTTTTTTATGAAGAGGTCAACATCTGACAGCTAAAACTTATGGATGATGACCATTTACATCAACCACTTGCTTGCAATGATGATACGTCGGTTCACCTCATGTTGCGTATAGTCTTACCAAAAGCATCTTTTGATCATGCCTCTTGAGCTAGCCAAGGTAGAGAGACCGCTGCATCAGAATGTACAACCAGATCACACTAACCTTTATAGAGCAACCCTCTGTAAGAAGTATCCTTTGAGCGGCAAACAAGATGTTTATATGCAATCACTGTCTTGCTGGGTTTTTTCTGAAGTCATAGCGAGAACCGGAATCAGGTGTCGAACCTGACCGTGACTTGTGTTGGCATCTTGTACGAGCCCCGCACAAGCCACATTCATGTTCCTTTGCATATAGACGCCTGGTAGCTCATTGTTCTTTGGCGCTAAACATTGCAGTACTTCAAAACACATGACCGTATGATACACGACCTCCACAGTCATTACCAATACTGAAACAAAGTTATTGTTTCGCCTCGCTCATGTGGCTGTTACGAAGTGCCACGGCTGCAAGGGTCATGCTTGACCTGCATGTCTGCCACTGGAGCAACCCGATCATGTATAGGTTTATGAGTTCTATATCTCAGCTAAACTGAAGTTGCAATGTAATTCTCGCATACGCATACCTACTACCTACAAGTTGCAGGCTAGATGTACAACAACTGATAGCACATATCGGACATCAGATCCTTTATTTTCGCTACATTTAAAGTGTACACTACAGGAGCATTGGACTACAATGCTGCTAACAGGGCAAATTGGAAGGACAAACGAGTTCGGTCGATACAAGTCCACCAGTTTACGCCGCCGAGCGAAGCTTGCGGTACGTGGCTCCATTTCCAGCCCCAGCGTTCGCAGAGGCACTTGCTGTGGCGCTTGCCGACGCAGCCGCTGCACCACCAGTCGACGCACCTGCTGTACCGCCAGTTGACGTACCCGCAGGGTAGCCGTAGCCGACATAACTCGGCGCACCATATCCGACACCGCCGTTGACACCTACGCCGACTCCACCGCCGACACCGGGGTAGCCGTAGCCGACATAACTCGGCGCACCATATCCGACACCGCCGTTGACACCGACACCAACACCGACACCGCCGTTGACACCGACACCAACAACCACACCCAAGCCATGTTTTGGTAAAGGCCGACACCGCCGCCAACAACCACACCCAAGCCATGGTTGTGGTAACGGCCAAACGTCTCGGCGACTTCCTTCTCAGCGTGTATGCCACTGGATAACACCACGACGGCGATGCACACGGCGAAGATCTTGTTGCTGCTGAACACGGTTGGAGGTGCTATTTGGAGACTTGGGTCCGATAGAAAGCGAAAGAGCTTGCGTGTTGGACTTGAGTAATTGGAGGTCGAGGCCGTAAATGTGAGAATGAACACTCAGTGGCAGCGTGTCGCCTGGGCTCATGTTTGACTTGGTAAATTCGCGCGCCATGTGCACGTCGACGGAGAGAAGCCCAGCCGGTTGAAATGTTTGGTAATGGTTATCCCAGGATGGGACATGTGTTCCCTGTATAGTGCCACCACGGACGATGACTCTCCATCACCATGTCAAGTTTTCATACGATACTTGTACAGAAGAAGTTGC